CGATGACGACCGCGACCTGCGCATGGCCCTGGAGCTTAGCGCGCGACCCATGGAGGACGATGGCCCCGGTCCCCCTCCGCCCCCCCAGCCACCGAGAGGCGCTGATCGGTCGTCGCTGCGGAGCGACAAGGACGATGAGGGCAAGGAGGGGGACGACGACACCACCGGCATGGGAGCCGCTGCTGCCGCTGGGGGCCGGCCCAGGTCGTTCTCGTCTCCAAGGGGGACTGCTGGATCTATCGGACGGTATGTCAGTCCTTGAACGGATCTGACGACACATACATGATGTGATGGCTTGCTTCCTCTTTTCTCTGTATTCTGTGTCTCTCAGTGACGATTCCCTCCAATCCCGCGACCGCCGCGCCCGCAGCCCGTCCCCCCGTCGCCACCCCAACCGGCCCGGAGTGACCGACGACCACTTCAGCTACGGATACCCAGACCCCACACACACGTCGGCGCTCCACGAAGACCCATTCACCATTAATGACGCAGCACAGGCGGGTCTGCGGTGGCAGCAGCCACGCAGGGCAGCACCCAGAGACCGAGAGGTCACCCCATCCCACCCACCACACAGGCGGGACCCGCCATCGGAGTCTGGCCAGAGGGGGGGCTCGGCTGGCGACATTGGGGAGGGCGAGGAGGGCCTGTCTGGTGCGGATCAGCGCGTGAAGGCGGAGCTCAGGATGCTTGAGGCGCTGGGGCGGTTCATGGGTATGGTCATGACGATAGCCTCGCCGCTGAACCTCACACTCAACCCCCTCATATGGAAGAAGCTCACGGCCATGCCCATATCACTACAGGTGACTGACGGACGGATGCACCTACACACAGACACACGGACGGGATGGACGGATGGCCATCGGATGGGATGGACATTCATTGTGGTTTTGTCCCTCATGCATGCCATGCCATGCCAGGACCTTAATGACGCCGACAGTGTGGCTGTCGAGATGTTGCGGCAGATGAGGGCACTCGCCATTGAGGGACATCAAGCGTGGGACGAACAGGTAACCACCAACCAGACAGACAGACACATGGACATACAAGGCAGACAGAGAATGCCCGTCTGCATATGTGTTCTCTCTGTTTGTCAGGTGCGTTTATCGCTGGGCGACCTGACTTTCCAGACGGAGGACAGCACCGGCGTGGCCTTCGAGCTCATCGAGGGCGGCGCCGACGTGCCGGTGACGAGCGCCAACCTGCCGCTGTTCATCTCCCTGTCGGAGAAGTGTCGTCTGCAGGAGGGGCAGAAGGGGCTGCAGCGGTTGTTGCAAGGTGTAGGGTCGGTGCTGCCCCTGGGCCGGCTGCGGCTGCTGTATTCGCCTTGTCAGCTGGAGCAGCTGGTTTGCGGTGAGGGCCGGATCGACCTGCAGGTGCTGCAGAGCCACACCATTTCGTCTGACCCCGGTCTCAAGCAGCGGCTCTTCGACATACTCCACACGTTCACCAACGAACAACTGCAGAACTTCCTCAGGTACACTAGACAGACAGACAGACACCCTCACGCAAGCAAGAAGATCTTTGTATGTATTCTGTGTCAATCAATCAGGTTTGTGTCGGGTCGGTCTCGTCTGCCCACATCCCGCAACGACTGGCGCCTCAGCGTCGACCTCGAGTCACACGAAGTCAGTACCTACCTACCATACACACGCGACGCGACGCAATGTGCCGCCCCAATGCAATGACCGACCTACGTGTGTGTCTGCCTGCGTATGTGAATGACATCCAGGTGCGCGACAACCGCCTCCCGACGAGCGCCACGTGCGGCTTCCGGCTGGTGCTGCCGACCTACAGCTCCCCCGAGATCCTCCGGTCCAGGCTGCTGTATGCCGTGCAGAACTGCACCGCCATCGACCTCGATGCTGCCGTCAGGGACGAACAAATGGAGCTGCTCTACTGACCATGACCGACCTCATCTGATGATCACCGACACAGACACACATGCAATGACTGCAGTGGATAGATAGGGCACGTACTTCCTGGGGTGGCGGGCGGGGCGGGGGGATGTATGGCGTAGGGGAGAGAGGCCGAGCGGGGGGATGGTATGGGTGGTATCGCACATACATATGCAGTGAGTGAGTGAGTGAGTGGGTAGCTAGGCAGGCCAATCGTTTGTTGTCAGTCGGGGGCAGGGGATTGTTGTGAGTCGGTTACGTTACATCCATTCCTTGATCCATCCATCCATCCATTCCGTCCACAGATTCTATCCATTCCATGCCATGTTTTGCGTCGCCTGAGTAGCCTGCTGCAGCCACACACACACACACACAACACACAACACACACACGTACACTCAGATGAGAGAGAGAGATGACACAGGTGTGAATTCATTCACCTACTGGGGAGGACCATTGTGAAGAGGGGTTTGCCATGGGGTGTGCTGTGGTGTGGGATGGATGGTGTGGGGCAAGGTTGCTTAGCTCGTAGCCACTGGCAGCAGCCATTCGGGTCTGGCAGCCCGTACGTACACGGACGGATGCTCACCTGCATAACGCACGCGGTTGCGGGGGGGTGGGGGGGGTGGGGGGTTCTCATGCTGCGTTTTGACTCCCTCGTTGTGTTGTCTGCCTGTCTGTGTAGTGCCGCTTTTCTTGATCAGATCGAGTGGGCTGGGCTGGGGTGTGGGTGGGTGGGTGTTTTGCTGACTGCCCGTCTGCTGCCTTTCCGGGTCGTCTGCCTGTTTCTGTAAATAGTGACTGAAATGATGGTGAGTGAGGTTGACAGTGACGTATCTGTGTTTGTGTGGACCGACCCTATTGATTGCAGTTCCGTCTCCCCATAACACAACACACGGGGCATATCATGTGGATGGACGTCCATATGGACGTACGATGGATGCTTTGGTGCAGTGCACGTGTGTGCAGATCAGATCGAGTGGGGGGCACCACACCGACAAGCCACCAAATACATGAGTTGCCCTCCTCCGTCGGGGGGTCGGGAGAAATGCCAGTGAATGCAAAGCCCCCAAGCTCGCATGGAGGCCCCCATCAGAAAGACGGTACCGAATGAAAAAGTCTCGATGGCCCCAATTACGAACAAACAAACACGAACTTCGGATAAGAGCGTGCCTCGCTCGCTAAAAACTCGCGAGTCCCGAACTCCACGCACGCCAATGGACTCCTCTTCGTGTGTGTGCCGTCCGAGAGGACTGGTCACTACTAGCTGCATGCATTATGGGTCACTATTAAACGTGCGCTCAAATAATAGTACATCAAATCTGAATCAGGTCGTGGTCCAGTTAATTCAGTGCGCATTGGCGGACACGAAGATTCGCATCCGCTGGCTCCCCTCCATCGTCCTCGCATCTTGTCTATATACGCACATGTCCTTCTCCTTTCACTACCCCTCTCTGCAGTCGGTCAGCCCCCCGACGCTGCAACCGGCCCCTCCCCGTGCCAGCAGGTCCTTGATGACGGCAGACGCACCTTCGCTCCCATCGAGCCAGACTTCTCGGCCGAGCCATTACCGCACCAGGAGAGGGCAGACCGTGAGCAACGCTCTTCGGAAGCTGCACTCGCTGGAGCTGATGATCCTGCCGATGTCGAGGACGCCAGCGACATGACGGAAGCCCAGTGGGAAAGCTGGACTGACTCGGCCAACCTGAGGACAGAGCCGTCGGCGGCAGACGGCTTCATCTACCGCCACCCCAAGCCGCGCGCCATCCTCGTTTCACCCAAGACGTCCATCGCATTGCGAGCACCGATTCAACTGAAGAGGCCATCCATCAGAGACAAGGTCCGGGTGCGAGCAGACGAGGGCGGCTTCGTGGGCGGCAAAGTGCTGCTGACACGCGACGGCCGGACGCTGCTGTGGACGCCCCTGCGACTTTTCAAGGCGGGCGAAACGGTGACTGTCAAGGTGGCTAGTGGTATCTTGGGTGAGGATGGGACGGCCATGGGTGGGGTGATGTGGCAATTCAGGGTCTCTCCCAACCCGCTGCGGCTATATGACGGCCCATTTACTGATCCCGATGACGGTGCCGAGGAGTGGCGGGCTGAAGCAAAGGCCAACTATCGAAGAAAAGGTCCTGACGCGGACGCAGCTGAATGGCATCTCTACGGTCCCTTCATGCCATCTGCCTTTCCCTCACTGTCCACAAGCACCGAGCAGCCTGCCGGGCAGCCTCACCAGGAGCAGCAGCAAGCAGAAGAGCCGCCCCTGGTGGACGCCCACACCGCTTCTGCAGCCAGCAGTGCTGGCTGTGAGATCGAAGGCAGCAGCTGGCCGAAGGACGAGGAAGCGTTTCGACGGGTATATCCCACGATGCTGAGCGAGACCTTCCTGCAACCTTCCCCCACTGGCAGGTCACTCAGCCCATCAAAGAGTCGTCCGAGGTCGCACCGGGCCATATCATGTTCAACACCCTCGTCGTCTCCCACAGCAAATACGGCAACGACACGCCCGGCAACGAGCGGCCATATCTGATCATAACCGACAAGCACGGGCAGCTGGTCTATTGGCGGCGCCACACGAGCCAGGCCAAGCAGCGTGTCGTCCGGCTGACTGACGAGATGGGGCAGAGGGGCAACCTCATCTACAGGGACAGACTGAACGTCACCGACAGGTGGGCGGCATTAAGTCGCGTGTGTCTGGCCGCCACAAGACACGACTGACTGACACATGGCTGTGTGCGTCCGTGCATCAGGGAAGGGAAGCGACGTGGGGCCACCAAGTGGGTGGAAATGAACCATGACCTGCAGCGCGTCAGGACACACAAGGCGGGACACGGCTACCAAGCAGACCAGCACGATATTGCCATCTCGGCTGACGGCAAGAGAAGGGCCTTCCTCATCGTCGACACTCAGCTGACAGACGTCGGTCGGTGGCTCAGGGAAAAGGAGAACAAGGGTGGGGCGAGTGGGGCCGATGACAGGCTGAGTGAGGTGTGGGTGTACGTGCCCATTGTGCAAGTGCTGGATGAGGATGACAACATCGTCATGGAATGGTACAGCCCCTTCCCCCCCTTCCTGTGTTGTGTGTCGATCCATCTGTCTGTCCTGTCTCTTCTTCCTCTTTCAGGCGAGCGTCCGACACCTGGCCGATCCCTGAGCTGGTTCTCCGGCACGAGGGCTCAGTCGAGGCCCTCATCGAGCGGCAAAAGGCCAACCCAAACGGACCGATGGATGTCGCACACATCAACTCGGTCTCGTTCACCCCTGACGGCAACCTGCTGGTGTCGCTGCGGCATTTGAACGTTTTGGAGGTCGATGTCAACACCGGCAGAATTAACTGGATGCTGGGAGGTGGGCGGGATGACTCATGGGCACAGCACAGGTGAGTGTGTGTGAGGGGGTGCTGTGCTTTGCTGTGCTGTGCTGTGCTGTACGTGTGCGCAGGCTCGGCAACCGACCGGTTGTTCAATGACTTCGCCATCGACGAGGACAGCAGATTCAGGGAGCAGCACCACGTCCGAATGTGTAGGACACACGGGGAACGCACCGCCACGCCAAGTTCTCATCGGTTGCTGTGCTGTGCTGTGCTGTGCTGTGCTGTGTGTCCAGTGGGAAGCGGGCACATCACTCTGTTCGACAACCGCAACCCGCCGCCCGGCGACGGCAGCACACCCAAATACTCTCGCGCACTGGAGCTCAAGATCATCAAACACAACAGCAGCACCACCTCTGACGGTGATTTCCCTTATTCGGTCAAGACGGTGTGGGAGCATCGAGGGCCGTACGGCCTTGCAATGGGGTGGGTGCAGCGGTTTGCAAACGGCAACACGGGCATAAACTGGGGAGGCCTCGCAAACAAAGAGACACCATTCTACCAAGAGGTAAGGCACCAGGCACAGAGAGAGACACACCAGATGGTGCTGTGTGTGCTGTGCAGGTGACGGCCGACGGGTCAACGGTGTTTGAGATGAAGCTGACGTCAGCCAACGGTGCATACTCGACCTACAAGGGCGTCTGGTGGTCGCGGCCGACACGCCCACCCCTCCTCACCATGAACGAGCCACTACCAGCAGCAGCAGACACAGACACACCCATCCCGGCGGCACTCCATTTCAGCTGGAATGGCGCCACGAACGTCAAGGTAGGTACCCATGAATCTATGTATGTATGTATCTATGTCTCACTCTCTGTCTGTTGGCCGATCGGTGTTGCAGGAATGGGAGGTGTATGGCGGCCTGTCCTCGCCCCCGTCACTGCTCCTCGGTCGCCTGAACAAGCGGCTCTTCGAACACCGGTGGCCGCTCGACCAACACACCATGCAAGCAGTACGCCAGGGCGACTTCAGCCACCCGTGTGGTGGGGGTGGGGCGGCCAAAACGGGAGGCGGCTGCTCCACTGGCTATTATTACTTTCGGGTGGTGCCTGTGCTGCACGACGGTCGGAAGGGCCAGGCATCTGCTGTGCTGGGAGTGAAGGCCAAGCAAGCAGCAGCAAAGAAGAAGAAGAAGAAGCAGAAGAAGAAAAAGAAAAAGAAGACAAGAGGAAATGGGTATTGATTGAATGGCGGGCGGGTGGTGTGTGAGGGGTGCGGCATGGATAGTTTGGTTGATGGGTATGCGGGCGTATGTATTTGGAGTACGAGTGGGACATATATGGACACTTAAGCTTAGCTGGCCGTCTGACCATTAGGATGTTATATGGTCTGTCTGTCTGTCTGTCTGTGTCTCGGCGTACAGACATTGCACGCTAAGTATGGACACCCATTCCATTCTTAGTGTGCAGGAGGGTCAACTGCAATAAATATAAATGCACAATTAGAGACACAAAGTCGACACACATACATAAGGAGGTGCCTGGTTGATCTTCGTCGTTCAGGTGTTGATAATGTCATTATTCATACCGTGTTCGACACGCCCTCGCATTGCGGTGGACCGCGTGAGTGCTGTGCCGGTGAGAAGTGTGTATGTGTGTGTGTGTGCGTGTGTGTGTGGTTCTGGGGGTGTGCAAATGGACTGGTCGACGTGAGTAGCCGCATGCCAGCTGCTGACATGGAAGGGCGTGCGTGCATTGCCTCCTCTATTCTCATGCTGTAACTGTGTTATTTTGTTCCCATCTCGAGTGGACAGCTCAGCTGCACGCAGGTTACATACGTTCAGGGGATGAAAAAATACTCTGAGCACATTATGTACAGACAGGTCAGAAAAACACACCTCCATGTGCACACCGACACACACACACACACGCGTACGAGCCTGCTAAGCTACACATCAAGCAACACGCATGTCTGGCAACTCTGCTGCCACAACGAAGGTCTCGTCGCGTGCCGAATGCTCTCTACCAGGACACCATGAGCACTGCCAGTGGTGCACAGCCAATGTCGTGTCGTCAAAAAAGGCACTCGTATTCGCCATGGCCGCCGCGAGCATTGGGCAGCCCTTGATGGCCCACTCCATGTCTCTCAGCGAGTGGACTGGACGGTCGCCGACGCACTTTTCCCTCATCGCGCCCACATTCCACTGGCAGATCTCGGGAAACATAACGTTGAAGGGCAGCACCCAGATAGACCCTACACGCATCCACACCCATACACAGAAGGCCCTCTCTCTCCCTGTGTGTGTCTGTGTGAGCGACATACCGAGAGATCCGTCATTGACTTTGAGAACTTCATGCACCAGTTTGGTCAGTTCCCGTGAGCCGCTCGTGACGGGGTCTCTGTAGGTCGGAAGCCCCTTTCGCAGTCGCTTGTCCAGCACTCTGTGCAAGAAGGCCTTCACGAATGGCTGTTCTGGCGCCGCCGCAATGAAGGCGTTGCTCACGAACGGCCGATCTTGCTCGCTATGGCGCTCGAGCAGATACGAGTGGACGAGGGTCTCCTCTGATAGAATGACGCCTCGGCATCGTTTCTCGGCTTCGTCTAGCAAAGGTCCTAGCGATTTGATCGACTCAAAATCCACATCGACATACACACCTGCAAAGGGACAACGGGGACACAATTAACGACATGCCATCGGCCGCCAGTTGGTGTGTGGTGTCTCTCTCTGTCCCTTTCCTGCTCACCACCACGAACAAAGACGACGAGCATTCTGCCGAGGTCAGCCTTTTCTACGCCCCGCAGTCTCTTATACTTGGCCAGCCACTCGGGGAAGTGCTCAGCAACGAGGGCCTCGAGCGCTCTGTCGTCATAGAGAACATGCCGCCACTCCGGCTGGTGCTCAAACCAGGAGGCCATCCATTGCTTGAACCTGATGGGCATCGTCTTTCCATCCTTCCACGTCTGGTGGATGACACGAGGAAACGTGTTGCAGGAAACGCCGCTGTCGTTGACATGATTCGACGGCCAGCCGTCAGGAAAGATGAACGCCGGTGGCCCACGGTGGTCTTGTGTCCTCCTCTTCGGAACAACAAAGCCGGTCGTGAAGTCCGACTCATCAGCCCCTGGGCCAATCTCATGCCACTGGACGCTGCCGCGCGGAGCAAATATGCTCGACGAGACCAGGAAGACGAACGACGAGAGGGACAGGATGGTGAGGAAAACGATGACAAAGCCGAGCATTGTCATGCAGAAACGTAGCCAACTCACGCCAAGCCCACTCGGCAAACCGCTCGTGAAACTGAAAGCAAGGAAGCCTTTCCAAGACTGAGAACACTTGTCAGAATTTGGATCGCAAGATCGCCGGACGGGGACGATACGTGGTTGTGGAGACGTACTTATACAGACAGATCGACCACACTTTGTTCGACACACAAGGGTCGTCGATGGCCGCACCTTCTACAGGCGACACACAGAGAAATGACACGTACACCATGGCCCTAGGAGCTCATCATGGCCGGTGCTGTAGGTCTGTAACTCACGTCTAGACATGACATACACACAAAATGTGCGCAAAGCAAAGCAAAGCAAAGCAAAGCACTGCACTGTGCTGGCTGCAGGTGGAGTGGACTCATCGGTGGGTGCATCGCATCGCATCGCATCATGATGCGATGCGATGCGATGCGATGCAGCAAAGTGTCAACTAAACACACACACACACACACACACACACATGTACAAACACGCAGAGCACGTATCGACGACCGATACACATACAGAAACAGTCATGCGCCCATCTACGCATAGTGCACAATGTCGGCCTGCTGCTGCTGCTGCTGCTGGTGATTGCCGTCATATACTGGTGTCAGCCGCAGCGCTCTCGCACCGTGGTTGCGGACGTCAATCGGAAAGGAGTCACCTGAAGACACAAAAACGTGTGTGTCCACGTGTCGTGTGTGCATCACCTGCCTGCGTGCCTACCCATCCTGGTGCCCATGTCTTGTTTCAGCAGCATGTCTCTCACCCTCACCCCTGCACACACACAGAACAGAAAGGTATGCACACACACAGATACCTGCCTACATGACGCTCGCTGTGGCTGCTTGCGCCACGCCTTGTGTTGGTTGGGTGGGATACGAGCGCACCGCACCTTTGACAGTGTCGAGGTTCATGTCAGCGGCGAACCAGGCGAGGCGCACCTGCACTGTGTTGCCGCGGGGGTTGTCCTTGCACGGCGGGTCCCACCCGTTGGTGTCGTCTGGCGGAACCGACGTATCACCCCGCTGCACACACACACACGCACACACGAACGGATGAGCCGCATGGACTGTGGACAGACAGACAGGGAGACGCACCTCATCTTGCAGCCGTCGTCTCCGCCTTGTGTGTGGGTGGTGGTCGGGCGGCTGACAGACAGACAGACAGACAGACATGGCTCGAGTATACACACACGGCCATCCATCCACCCATCACATGTGTCTCCCTCCGTATGCGCACCGGTTTGAAGTACTCGGTGTGGTTCATGAGTTTCTTGGGGATGGGAAATGTGGCCGTGGTGTAGTTGCACTGACTCCCGTCGTCGTAGAAATACGCTGCAGCGTCACAGACAGTCAAACACTACAGAAGCCATTGCAATAGGTGTGGGCTGGAGGTAAGGTACCATTGAAGTGCGTGTGTCTGTTCCAGATGACCACGGCCACCGAGCCGTCAGCCAGCGGAGCCGAAAAGACCCTGATCACACACACACACACACTGGTAGATACGCACTGGCCAGATCTCACGTATTCTTTCGGTGTACGCCAATGTGGACACACACACTCGGACGCACCCACCGGTAGGGCCCTTTGTGCCACGCGAGTCTGGCGGCCTTGCCCAGGGGGTCCTGTGATGTGAACACACACGCAAATGAAATGCGCATGGGCATACACACGCATCGACATCAAACGTCGGCGCGCGAGGGTGCGGTGCGCACTTCACTTACTTGGTGGACAGCGATGAGCTCTTCGTTCTTGAGCAGAGCCAGTGCGTCAGGGGAGATCCTGCACTCACCGAGACACAGACAGTGTATCGATGCAGGCACATCCATGTGCTGTGCTGTGCTGTCTGGCTTACTTGCGCAGGTCGGTGCCGATGACGAGTGGGCTCTTGCTGAGGCACCACATGGCGAAGTGTGCCTGCTCCTCGATCCACCTGAGGCCGCCGTTGCCCACCTGCAGCATGTCCCAGTCATTCCAACTACCAGGACCTGCACACGCACACACAGTACCCACCCACACGAACGGCTGAGTGTACCTACCGTACGTGTGCATTCCCACGCACCGCACGGGCCGGCGACCCCCCCCCCCCCCCCCCC